GGACACAACATCTTTGTTGGTATGCGGTGCTGAGGATCGAACCCGGGCCGCACGCATGCCAGGCGAGCGCGCTACCACTTGAGCCATATCCCCAGCCCTCAGCCTTCTATATAGATGGGATTACAGGCAGTAGTCACTGTGACTGACTTCAATTAGAAGACATTTATTAGAACCTTTCTATATTATGTCTTCATCACTTTATAAAGCTACTTTTTACTTAGTGTCCTACATTAAAGGCTGTAATGTTGTTAAATAGTGTAGTTTGAAGGTCTATTACCAAACTTCCAACATGTTTAGTACATTGGAATTTGTCGAAACAGGATTTCACCTTTATTCATATTGTGTACCCTGAACTGGTAGTATATATCCTATCAAACACTCTTTCCTTCTTAAAATAAATATGTGAAAATGTAGTGTTTTAGAAGGAATGTACATTTTTCATAATAGTGAACTTTATTATATGAACCCATGAAGTAAACTTTGTAGAAAATAAAGCCTAAATATAAAACGTGTTAAACTTACTTCAGTAGCAATGGTTAGACAATTCATAGTTCAGATCCTTTGATGTTTGTCTTTCTTCTGGTGAATCAGAACTAACAAAATTGATTCCCAAATCATGAGGAATTAAGATTTTAATTAAAAAGAATATCTGAGGCCTGGGGATATAGCTCAGCTGATAGAGAGCTTGCCTTATATGCACAATGCACAAGGCCCTGGGACCACAAAAAAGAATTTCTTATGCTGGGTATGGTGGCACATGCCTGTAATTCCAGCATTTTGGGGGACTGAGGCAGGAAGATCACAAGTTCAGAGCTAGCCTTAACAATTTAGAAAGACCCCCTGTCTCAAAATAATGTATAAAAAGGGGGTAGAGATGTAGCTAAGTGGTTAAATGTGCCTGGGTTCAATCCTTTGTACAAAAAAAAAAAAGATTATTAAAATAAAGAATGAAAAATAATACCTAATAATAATTGAGAAATTATGAATTTTCCTTCCCTGATTATATTAGCTATAGAAGAAATTTTAAATGTCTTTATTTTTTTTGGTACCAAAGATAGAACCCAGGGGCACTTAATCACTGATCCACATCCCAGCCCTTTTTTTTTTTTTAAATTTATTATTTTTTTTAAAGAGAGAGTGAGAGAGGAGAGAGAGAGAGAGAGAGAAATTTTTAATATTTATTTTTTAGTTCTCGGCGGACACAACATCTTTGTTGGTATGTGGTGCTGAGGATCGAACCC